TCAGATTTTCAAAACGGGACCCGTAGTAGACCCCTCACGGGCCAAACAGAACGGTCCAGTCCGATGGCGCACTGGACCAAAGCCGGACCCAATTCTAAAAACAAAAATTTTAGAAAAAAATTTAAAAATGATATACAAATTTACTTTCTAAATTTGTTAATGTGTCAGAGAAATGATTGTGTTATGATTAGAAAAAATAATAAGATATAATTTGTTGTTTGAAAAGTGAGTTTAATTTTTGGATAAATTACAAATACACCCCTTGAAGTTTGCTTAAAGTACAGATTGTCTCTTATGATTTAGAAAATTAGAAATATCCCCTTGTTAATTTTTTTTTTATTTAACAGAATTAACTAAAAAAATAAAATTCATAATTGCTCTCCTATACAATAACAAAATTACCTAATGAAACGTATTTCTAACATCATTAAAAATTGTTAATTGATTTGATAATTTATTAATAATATGAGTGATTTGTTATGAAATTAGAAATCTCATGGGGTGAAATGTAATTTTTAAAACTGCAGGGGCGATTTGTATTTTACTTAAAGTAGTACTATTATTTTTAAGAATATCATCTTTACAATATTCCTATGTTAATTATGTATGCATTTTTTTTTTTTTTTTTGTTTCTAGATCATTTTCCTTGTAAAAATATAAGAGTCACGTAGAGTTAATAAGTGGTTTGAGATGTTCTAAATAAGTGTACTTTTTGATTTTTTATAAAATATGAGTTGAGTATGAGTTGGGTTTGCAGTGACATTATAGAGAAGTAATGTGACTTAAATAAGATGATATGACTCAAGTAGGATAGCAATTTTTTGATTTTTTTAATATATACCAAACAAGATAGTCACGTTGACTTAAAATATTTTCCTTTCTATGTTAATTTTTTTTTTGTTTATTTTCCTCTTTTTGGTGTTTATTTTTGAATATCTGCCTTGTGAGTAATTAGATGAGAGGTGCCATGAAAACGAAAACGCAAGGCATGTCCCATAAATGGTCTTCTTTATGTCTTTAAAATAGGGTAAATTATATTGATTTTTTAAAAAATTAAATTTATTTTTTAAATTTAATGATGTGATAGTATATTATACTATTTAAATTATTTTTTTCTCATATTTTATCTAATTATCAGTTAATCGTAATTTTTATAAATTACCGAGTCTTAAAAATGAATTTAAATAGTAAATTTTTATGTCATTTTTTTTGAAAAAATTGTAAATCGCAATTTTTTCTTTTTTTTTTTATACTTTGTTTGGTTTATTAATTTGAGAGGAAACTTGAAAAAGGAAAAAAAGAAATAGTGGATAAAGGATTGTTTTGAAAAGTGTAAAAAGAAAAAAAAGTTGACCTTTTTTACTTATTACCAAAAATGTGTAAAAAATAAAGAAATAATGTGACTCAAATAAATATTTTTTAAAGGGTCTGATTTTGGTCCAGTCCGCCATCGGACTAGACCGTGTTGTTGGACCTGTGGGGGCTCAACAACACGAATAATGACCCTTACTTTCTAAATTTGTTATTGTGTTAGAGAAATGATTGTGTTATGATTAGAAAAAATAATAAGATATAATTTGTTGTTTGAAAAGTGAGTTTAATTTTTGGATAAATTACAAATACACCCTTTGAAGTTTGCTTAAAGTGTAGATTGCCCCTTATGATTTAGAAAATTAGAAATATCCCCTTGTTAATTTTTTTTTGTTTAACAGAATTAACTAAAAAAATAAAATTTATAATTGCTCTCCTATACAATAACAAAATTACCTAATTAAACGTATTTCTAACATCATTAAAAATTGTTAATTGATTTGATAATTTATTAATAAAATGAGTGATTTGTTATGAAATTAGAAACCTCATGGGGTGAAATGTAATTTTTAAAACTACGGGGGCGATTTGTATTTTAATTAAAGTAGTACTATTATTTTTAAGAATATCATCTTTACAATATTCTTATGTTAATTATGTATGCATTTTTTTTTTTTCTAGATCATTTTCCTTGTAAAAATATAAGAGTCACGTAGACTTAATAAGTGGTTTGAGATGTTCTAAATAAGTGTACTTTTTGATTTTTTATGAAATATAAGTTAGGTATGGGTTGGATTTGCAGTGACATTATAGAGAAGTAATGTGACTTAAATAAGATGATGTGACTCAAGTAAGATAGTAATTTTTTGATTTTTTTAATATATACCAAACAAGATAGTCACGTTGACTTAAAATATTTTCCTTTTTATGTTAATTTTTTTTGTTTATTTTCCTCTTTTTGGTGTTTATTTTTGAATATCTGCCTTGTGAGTAATTAGATGAGAGGTGCCATGAAAACGAAAACGCAAGGCATGTCCCATAAATGCTCTTCTTTATGTCTTTTACAATAGGGTAAATTATATTAATTTTTTTTAAAAATTAAATTTATTTTTTAAATTTAATGATGTGATAGTATATTATACTATTTAAATTATTTTTTTCTCATATTTTATCTAATTATCAGTTAATCGTAATTTTTATAAATTACCGAGTCTTAAAAATGAATTTAAATAGTAAATTTTTATGTCATTTTTTTTGAAAAAATTGTAAATCGCAATTTTTTCTTTTTTTTTTTATACTTTGTTTGGTTTATTAATTTGAGAGGAAACTTGAAAAAGGAAAAAAAGAAATAGTGGATAAAGGATTGTTTTGAAAAGTGTAAAAAGAAAAAAAAGTTGACCTTTTTTACTTATTACCAAAAATGTGTAAAAAATAAAGAAATAATGTGACTCAAATAAATATTTTTTAAAGGGTCTGGCTTTGGTCCAGTCCGCCATCAGACTGGACCGTGTTGTTGGACCCGTGGGGGCCCACCACGGGTCCCGTTTTGAAAATCTAAATTGTTTAATGTGTAGAATTCATCGAGTACTTTATGTTTGTGAAAATCACGTTGATCGAATATCGACAGCCCTCTTCTTCCTTCTTCTTCTCTCTTTCTCTCCCTCTCTCTCTCCCTCTTCCCCCTGCGTTTCAGTTTCAGACTGAAAATGAAGGAAAAAAAAGAAAAAAAAAAAAACCTAATGCCCAAAACGACGTCGTTTTGGGCATTAGGGGGATTCGGGGGGAAAGTCTCGAGCTACCAAACATTATTCTGAATTTAAATAGTAAATTTTTATGTCATTTTTTTTGAAAAAATTGTAAATCGCAATTTTTTCTTTTTTTTATACTTTGTTTGGTTTATTAATTTGAGAGGAAACTTGAAAAAGGAAAAAAAGAAATAGTGGATAAAGGATTGTTTTGAAAAGTGTAAAAAGAAAAAAAAGTTGACCTTTTTTACTTATTACCAAAAATGTGTAAAAAATAAAGAAATAATGTGACTCAAATAAATATTTTTTAAAGGGTCTGGCTTTGGTCCAGTCCGCCATCAGACTGGACCGTGTTGTTGGACCCGTGGGGGCCCACCACGGGTCCCGTTTTGAAAATCTAAATTGTTTAATGTGTAGAATTCATCGAGTACTTTATGTTTGTGAAAATCACGTTGATCGAATATCGATAGTTATGTGATCAAATCAGTTTTGTATAAAAAAAATAGACGGTAAATAAATTAACGGTTGATAAAAAACCGTTTTGATCACATAGCTATCGATATCCGATCAACGTAATTTTTCACAAGCATATAGTACTCGACGAGTTATACACATTGAATGGTTCAGATTTTCAAAACGGGACCCGTGGTGGGCCCTCACGGACCCAACAGTACGGTCCAGTCCGATGGTGGACTAGCCAAAGCCAGGCCCTTTTTTAAACACTTTTTTAAAAAAATTAAAATGTGAATAAAATATAATTATATTTAATACACATTTTCTTTTTCTCTTTTCAAATTTATAAACTAAGGGTGTATTTGATTGAACGGACTGGATAAGGGAGATTAGAATCTATCGGACTTGAATCCTGGGATTGTAAATCTCCCGGACTATTTGGTTGGATTTGATATGTATCTTGTGTTTGTTTTTTCATAGGATTAGATGTCTGAAAAAGACTATTTTTTATGAATCCAATGTTTGGTTGGACAGACTGGATAGGATAAATGAACAAATAACTATTTTACTATTTTTAAATTGTTTACTAAGTAATAGCAATATTAAACATATCTTTAATATTTTAATTTTTTAGCTAGATTAAATAAAATTTTATTTTATTTTATTTTTTACACAATTAAATAAATTTATTTTTTAAATAAAATAAATAAAATATCTATTAAAATTTAAATAATGAAATTAAATAAATTATAAACAAAATTTTAAAATAAAACATTAGTAAAATATCTAAAAAAAATTATTTTAAAAAATTAAATAAATAAAACATCAATAAAAAGTTAAACAAAATTATTTTATTTTTAAATTGAGACATTTAAATTTTATTAAACATAATACATAATTAAATAGTAGAGGGTCAAAATGGTCATTTCATCACCTAATCCCAACAGTAGATAGTCTCCCGAAAATTATCCCATATCCCTCCTAGGACACAATAGTCTCCTATATGGGGGATAAAGGGTCCGGTCGGACTTCATATTCGGCAGACTAAAAAGAAAAACAAACACCGGATAAAGAGCATCCCCGGATTACAATCCCCCGAATCAAACACACCCTAAATACAATATTACAAAAAATATAATTTTTTTTTTATAATTTTAACATATTATATTTATTTATTTTTATGCTGTATTTAATTGAGAGATTTAAGAAGAAATTTAAAAAAATAAAAAATATAAATAAAATATATCTATATTTCACATATTTTTTTAAATACGTATATTTTTTGACTTTTTATAAAATATAAATTAGGTATAAATTAAGTTTGAAGTAATGTGACTTAAATAAGATAATGACTTTTTAATTTTTTAATTTTTTTTGATTATATCAAACCAAGCTTAAATATAACATTATTTATTTATATTATACAACATTTTTTATATTCAGCACTTTTTAAGATGATTATAAGTTGGTTGAGAGGCTCGTCTTTTCCCTGTCTCGTGTACACCGCCATTCATTAAAATCGTTTAACCCCCCATCTCTCTCTCTCTCTCTCTTCGACTCTGATGCCGAGACGCCATAAAGGACAACCGAACTCAAACACTACCCGTTGCTACTACACATTCACGTCACTCCTACTATCTCATGGCAGCCCACCTCAAAACCCAAACCCAAACCCAAACCCAACTCACCACCAAGCCCAAGCGCCGTCGCTGTCGCGAAACCACCATCTCCTCCTCCGCCTCCTCCACCACCACCTCCGCCTCCAGTTCCTTTCATTCCCAATCTGACTCCTCATATCACCACCGTAAGCTTGACCCCCCCACCGTCGTCTCCTCCGATTCCTCCTGGTGCTGCCCCGCCTCCAAATTCCCTCCTCCGCCGCCTCCGCCGCCCTCTCCTCCACCTCCCTCCTCCTCCCAACGCTACTCAAACCCTGACCCCATTTCCATTTCACTATCGCCTTCGCTTGTTGACTCTCCCTCAAATCTCAGGATTCGTTACTCACCCACTACTGCTCCTCAAGTTATGGACTCCTCAACCACCGCCGCCGTCTACGCCGCCGATTCTTTCCCTTCTTCTTTCAGCAAGTTCAATTCGGCTCTCACTGCTGGACTATTGAATCCCATGTCTCCACCACCACCTCCCTCCGACAAGGCCCGATCAAGCCCAACCCTTTTCGAAATGATGGCCAGCGAGCCCGATTCCATTCCCAGATCCCAGATCGCCGCCGCCGCCGCCAACGCCAACGCCAACGCCAACGCCAACGCCAACGCCAACGCCAACGCCGCCGTGTCGGTCAACAAATCCCAGGTTTTGGGTCAGGACAAGCAAGCCTTGATTCAACAGCGATTGTCTGAGATTTTGGGTTCTCGGAGTCCGGGCAGTCAGTTCAATGACCCCAATTCGAGCGATGTGAAGCTCACGTTGAGTTCCAAGGACGGACTCACTGTTTCCATGAATGCTCATCGGCAGATCTTGGTCGCTCACAGCCGATTCTTCGCGGTTAAGCTTTCTGATCGGTGGTCGAAGCAGCAGCGAACTTCTAACCCCTACATTGTCGAGATTTCTGACTGCGATGACATTGAAGTTTACATTGAGGCTCTAAGTTTGATGTATTGTAAGGATTTGAGGAAGAAGCTCATGAAGGAAGATGTCAACAGAGTACTTGGAATCTTGAAGGTACTAATAATCATTTGCGCATTGTAGAGGAAACTATGAACTTTTGTTGAATTTGTAGATTTATATGTTTGTACCTATTTGTATGTGTATATGAAATGATGGGTTTATTGGCACATTGTTCTGGGTTTTAGGAATTTGAATTCTGTTTGATATTCTTGTAATTTAGGTTTCACCTGCAATTGGGTTTGATATGCATGTGCATATGATATGATAAATTAATTGGCATTTTGTTCTGGGTTGTTAGGAATTTGAATTGTGTTTCATGTTATTGTAATTTAGGTTTCAGCTGCAATTGGGTTTGATGCTGGGGTTTTGTCATGTTTGGAGTACTTAGAGGCTGCTCCATGGGCTGAAGATGAAGAAGAGAAGGTGGCTTCTCTGTTATCGGAGCTTCGGCTCGAAGGGGTTGGGGCAGGGGAAGTTCTTAAGAGGGTTTCGATTGATGTTACTGCTGGGGTTGAGGATGGGAATGGAAATGAAGAAGTGCTGCTCAAACTTTTACAGGTGGTGCTGGAAGGAAAAGATGAGAAGGCAAGGCGAGAAATGAAGGGATTGGTATCCAAAATGCTCCGTGAGAATTCGACTCGAAATGATTTGAGGAAAGAGTCTTTGTATTCTGCTTGTGATGGGTGTTTGCAATTGCTTCGCCGCCACTTTTTACGGGCAGCAGATGTGGCAGACTTGCAGGACATGGCTCAGATTGCCCGGCAGGCGGATAATTTGCATTGGATTCTGGATATTTTGATTGATAGACAGATTGCTGAGGATTTTTTAAACACATGGGCAGCGCAATCTGAATTGTCTGATGTACATTCTAAAGTGCCCGCCATTCATAGGTACGAGATTAGCAGAGTGACAGCTAGGTTATTTGTTGGGATTGGAAAAGGGCAGCTATTGGCTTCAAAGGATGCAAGGTGCTTGCTCTTGCAGACTTGGTTGGTTCCATTTTATGAGGATTTTGGGTGGATGAAGCGGGCTTCGAAAGGCCTTGACAGGCATTTAATTGAAGATGGTCTGAGCAACACTATCCTGACTCTGCCTCTAGCTTGGCAGCAGGAAATTTTGATGTCTTGGTTCGACCGGTTTTTGAACTTCGGTGACGATTGTCCAAATATACAGAGAGGTTTTGAAGTTTGGTGGAGGAGGGCTTTCTGGAGACGAAATGGTGATACTGGACGGCCCCGGCAAATGCGAGTTACATCCGCAAGTGTTGAGAACTCATGAAATTTAGTAATTCCAAAACGAGGGGGGATAATGTCATTACAATGGTTTTATCTCCTTTTATCCTCTTATGATCACCTTGTCCTCATTAGACATTATGGTGTTTTTCTGTCTTCTTCCATTCTAAACCAGCCCTGGCAATTATTTTGAAGGGATTGAATTCGTGAAGTTGGGTGATTTGTTTCTCTGATAGATGTTTCCGGGTTTAATCTAGAAGAAGTGAGATATGTTTGGTTGCAACTTCACATTTTGTTGGGAATAATCACAATAGAGTAATTCTGTTCAATTTAATACTTCCAGTGAGCCATTTTCTTTCTGTTGCTATATCATTGGAATTGATTTCTAGCTCATGAAAGGACTGTTGTGACCTATTCTTTTAGGTTTTGAATGTCATCAAATTAGGGTTCTTTTGGACAAAAGAGTTTTATTTTGGTAACCAAGACTGTTGGACTGTTGACTATTGGGTAGACGTGACAAGCTAAGGCATATGAAAATTGAGAGTGGACATTAGCAGCAATGGGTTTTGCTCCCCTTAAGCTTTTTCATGTAAGTTCGAAGTTGTAGTTACTGGTTCTTACTGTGGTCACACTTGGGATGAATTGGTGACCATAAATTGGTTTAGATAGGGTGTGAAAAACATCCTTTCTTATATCATGTTTTTGAAGTGCAATGTTGTCCCAGCTTCTGATTAAATATAATTGAATGGAAAATGGCCCTAATGGAAGATTTGTTGAGTTTATACTGCTTTCATGGTGAATCCATTTTGCATGATAAATATTATCTCCTGTAAGTATTATGGCTCTACATAATGCACTATCAACTCATTACATCTGGTGATTCAAAACGGGCAGCGAGTGGTGAGGTTTACTACATTTTGGTTTGGTCTCACTTGCATGCGAATCTTGTCACATACAGGTATATATGGACATGTGAAGGCATTAGGAAACTTCCTTTTGATTGCCACCTGATGCTGCCTTTCTACCAGTTGTGCATTTGAGTGTTTGGGTTCAGCTCAAATATCTAGTGTTTTTTTATTTTTATAATCAAAAGATATATCTCTTCTCCATAATTTATTTATGTGTTAATATTTATTTTTCTTTGGAACTGTATGTATTCATAAGTTCCTTGTTATTTTTGTTTGTTTTTTTACATGTTGATGCATCTATTTATTTTGTTGACTAGCCAAACGTTCAATAATATGTGATATGCCAAAAAGAATTAAGCAATACTTGGAGTTCGATTAGTACTTTCTTGTTGTTTGTCTGATGGCATCAATTGTAAAGAGTGCTTTTACAGTTAACATTGATTTATATGTAGAATAGCTACATATGTTGGATTTTTTAGCGCAAGTGGAAAAGCTTGAAGATGCTTTTGAGACATGGTAAAAATATTTTCCATAAATGTTTCTTGTTCAAATTATGTTTATTCCAGCTAGTTTACGCACAATAATGTTGCTTCAACTCATTTGGTAAGTTCTTTAAGCCATGTGGATCTGTTCAGTTGCTTTAGTTTCCATTTTTCTTTTGAAATTATATTCCAAGGTTTATTCTGAAGCATATGGTACTACTTTTACTTAGTTGTGTAAAATCTAGGACGGATGGTGCTTTTGAACCCCTGACCCCCCAACAAGTACTGATAGAAGAAACTGACTTGAATTTTTTTGTATTTTTTGCTCAAAACAAACACCAATTGGCCAGTGCTACAGAATTTGGATAGATAATTGTACCGAAACTTTAGGACACGATGTTATTGTAGGGTTGTCGGTGAGGAGTTGCATCAATACTGTTCTCTAGTATCTAATAATCGTGCAGGTATGCAACATTTTATGTTCATCTTATATTGTAAGTTTCTAGGGTCTCCATTTGTCCTATGTGTTTTAATTTTGTTGTTGTAGAAATCCCTCTAGATCATCTACATACCATTTGGCTAGTAGGATGACAAACTATTTTATTGCTTTTGAAAATGGAAGTGAACTCAACTCAAATTATCCGAAAATGGTCGTGTTCAAGTGCTTAAGAGCAAGTATTTTTTCTGGCCTTTCGACCAATAACTTTCATGATTCGACGGAACGTAACTCATTTCCTGCATCTTCTGTAAATTGTTCAAAGTAATATTGGGGTATGATTTAATTTTGTTCAGCCTGCAACATATTAGCATGCCGAAGGCAATTAGAAGATCATCCACCATTGTCCAAAAAATTGATTTTGTAATTTGTTGTGTTCATTTTCATGATGGTATGGGCTCACAATATGCTTACACATTTGTTGCTTTTGCAACTTGCACTGTCCATATCAGAGTTTACAGAACATCTTTGGCCTATATGACTGTTCAGGGTTTTAATCTATGCCAAGTATAGTGATTTTTGCATTGGATGCTGCTAGTTACTGCAATCCTAACTGTGTGGGTGTTTGATCAATATATGTACACATACATACATACGTATATATAAATATACATGATTATCATGTACAGAACGGAGATGTCTTCTTCTATTTAGGCTGTGAAATATATTTATATTTCATTTACATTTTACACATTTTTCTTTCTCTTTTCAAATTCACATTTTAGATGTCTATTATTATGCAATCTTTGCCTGCACTTCATTTGGATTTTGCAATTGGTTCATGTAACTATCCTTCTCTAGATAGGATATTCTTTTCAATAACATTTTTCTAGGGCACTCATTTAAAGAATTGAAAGCCATGGCCTAGCCTTTTCTCTCAAATGACTTGATCATAATAGCAAGGTATCTTTCTTTGTCCATGGTTGAAGACTTTTGGTTGCGCAAAATGATATAAAGTAATGTTATTTAAATAAAATTTATATAGTTGTTTCCATTCTTTCATTTCAAAGTAAAAAATTCTATCGCTTGAGACTATATTTTCAAAAAATTTCACTTTATAGTGTTTACTCTAGTTGTGATGCAATATATTTTACATTATATTGTGCTCAAAGTCATCGCACAATAACATTGTATTGTAACTCCAATAACTTTACAATGAAATTTAATTATTATCATAGTTTTAACCGCATCATATTGTAACTAAAATCTCATCATATGAAGGGGTGCTCATATTGCACAACCTTGTAAGGAACCATAATGGGCCTGCATATTATTGTTGGCTAGGCAGGCCTGACCAGTTATAATTTGGGCCTTGTACCCAGGAAAAGATTGAAGAAAAGGAAAAGTTGTACCATGGACATTAACCCATTCAGAGCCTAATATTAGACCCAAGATTTTTTAAATAAAAATATTAACCCAAATTTTCTATAGGTTGTTTAGGACATAGCTTCTATGCCTGTTTGGTGCATCTTAAAAGTTGCTTATTTCAGCTTTCAACTTAATTTAAGCTATTTTGATGTGTTTGGTTTAGCTTAACAATGCAGCTTATAACTTTTTGTAAGTCAGAAATCAGCTTATTCTTTGTGCCTGTTTGGCAGAGCTTAATTACAGCTTATTTCAGCTTTCAACTTAATTTAAGCTATTTTGATGTGTTTAGTTTAGCTTATAACTTATAGCTTATAGCTTTTTGGAAGTCAGAAATCAGCTTATTTTTTGAGTGGGGCGGGAGATACTTTAAGAATAAGCTGAAAATCAGCTTAAGTTGAAAGTTATAAGCTATAAGCTGTTGAGGCAAAAGCTATCAGCACTTTCTCACAGCTCTACCAAACAAAGCCTTTGAGTGGAGCAGGAGATGCTTAATTTATAAGTCAGAAATCAGCTTATGTTCATAGTTATAAGCTATAAGCACTTTTACACAGTTCTACCAAACATGGCCTCTGTACAGTGTTCTTTGGAGCTGTGTGGTGTAATTTATATGAACTATTTATATATATATATATATATATATATTATTTTATTTTATTTTGAAAGTTTGTGATAGATTGTTTGATATAATTGTTATTTATAGTAGCTGGGGTAATGATATCTTTGAATTCTATGTTTTGATCATCAATTTTTAACTTATAAGAAACTACACCAAATAAGTCATTTGTTAAGACTCGGCACTATAAAAAAGCATTTGGCATTACATTTTGAGTAGCTAAGCTAGAGTCAAACCACAAATGTTAGATTTGTATAAAAATTTTAGGGGAAAAAAAAAAAGTGAAAAAAATATAAGCTATTTTTTTTTGGTTTTGGTTTTGGTTTTTGTTTTTGCTTTTTCTTTTCATAAATTCTTATTCAAATGTAAAATCCAAATGCAAACTAAGAAATAAAATATACACAATATGGTACTAGAGGGTTCAGATTGAGAAAGATATCATTCATGTAACATAGAGTATAGTACTGGTACAGTCATAATGATTAAAAAATTCCAACAAAATAATCCTTCCCCTTCCCCTTCCCCTAACCCTAACCCTAACCCTAACCCTAATTCTATCTCTAACCCAACAACTGTATTATCTTAAAACAAAGTTGGCCAATTCTATCTTTAAAAACGTTGGCCAATTCTGGAAATCATTCTGTTTGGAAACTAAGATCAGAAAACTCATTATATTAAGTTTTAATTTTATTTTACCCAAGATGGGAAAAATGCATGGCCATAATTATTGAAACCCTTTCATATCAAACTACATAAAATCAACTTGAACATTATCTTCTTCTTCTCCTCCTTATTCTCCAAGAAGGCCTTTTTTTCCGCCCAAAAAACAAAAAGGGTGGTGCCTTAATCGTTAGTTTTCTTTTCTGTTGACACGATTATTATGATATTATTATAATTAAGGAAACGTTATTATTGCATCATTTTATCCACTTAAAGCCCTAAGCTTGTAACAGAAATGACTTTTTTTTTTTGGGTTGTTGTTGTTGAGGAAATTGGGCTGCCCCTAATTGAGGATTTCAGTGTAATAATTGTCTAAATATTATTGCTTGTTTGCTCTTAGTCCCACAAACAAAAAATTCGAGTTAACTATAAAGATAGATTGAAAAGATTTAGTACTAAAAACAAATTGTGGAAGATGATGATGACCTAGAGGCTGACATTTCCATCTTAGATATACCATTTGTGGCTAACGAATGGAATGAAGCATCACATTTTCCATAGATTAGACATAAAAAAGTCCAACTTTATCGAATGTCACCTTATATAATGAATGCGCTACATACATCCATTACAACATTCATGATGGATATATGTATATTAGTTTTTGTTTTATTTATTTATTTGTTGTTTTGTTTTAAATAGTAAGTGTCTTTCGAGCACACTATTATCCACAAATTACAAGTATAGGTTAAATTCACAAGACACAGGCCACTAAACGGGTTGAACTCAAAATGTTAATCTTTACATTTTCAAACAGGGTTTGCTCTGAGTTTTTAGATAACGAAATTAATAATATAGTTCTTTTTTTTATTTGGAACCACTTCTATGAGGACTGCTTTCTATGAGGACTGCTCCTAATTGAGGATTTCAGTGTAATAATTGTCTAAACAATATTGCTTTTGCTCTTAGTCCCACAAATAAAAAATTGGAGTTAACTGTAAAGATAGATTGAAAAGATTTAGTACTAAAAACAAATTGTGGAAGATGATGATGACCTAAAGGCATCTTAGATACTAGTCTATCACCCGTGCTATATACGGAATAATTATACATATTTATATTTGTTTTAGATTTTTTTTAATATATAAATTATGTTTTTTGAGATTTTTTATAAAAATAATTTAACAATCTTATCACTAACCATAGTGTATGAGAGAAGTTGAAAAAGATACTGCAGTAACTATGCATGGATTGCATCTATAATTATTTGTATGAGGAGATTTTAAATGCTGATTAGGAAATTTTGACCATATCAATAAATGCAGGCATGTGGAAAGACATGTAGATTGAAAAAAATTAATAAATGCTAATTAGGAGATTTTGACCAAATCAATAAATGCTGAGTTTTTTTTTTTAAAATCAAAAAATTAGGAAATTTAGATTGGGATATTGGAGTTCCCACAAGGTTTGGGATTAGAAATCCCCTTTTCCTTAATATATAGACTAGCATATCACTCGTGCTATGCACGAGATAATTATAGATATTTATATTTGTTTTAATTTATTTTTAATATATAAATTATGTTTTTTAAGATTTTTTATAAAAATAATTTAACA